GCCCTGGCACTTATTAATAAGTCATTACGCAACAGCGGAGCCAACAACAAAAGTAGCAGGAGCAACGGAATCACAAGAGTCAGTTGCCAAGCAGGCCAAGTACCGGTACCGCTCTCTCGTGGCCGCCCCCCAGAAGTAGCTTGAGCCGCCTGTACGTTTACATGTACATCCATGCGCAACCTTGTCCGCCCGTCAAGGGTTGTTGCGCCTTGGCAACCTTGGTTTGACTCACTTCTCGTTCTCCCAGTACGAGTGTCCACTCTCCACAGTCCACAGAGCACACAGCCCAGCGCGGTATATCTGCTGCCCGCCCGAGTCACTCTGCCTTTTTTCCCCAATTCTGCTGCTACTTGCTGCTGGTCTGCCACTACATCTTTTAAGTTGAAGACGAGCTTGTTTCGTATGAGCTGCATCCCCGGACAGAGAGCGGACAGAACACCCTAATCACCCTCCCACAGCTGCAACCCACATTCCGAGATAGATCAATCGGGCCTGTATCGTCATCAGCCCTTTTGTTGATCTTCCCATACCACTTTCTTCGCTCTCCTGCTGGCCTCCCCCAAGCCAACCGCCAACCACTATTTCGTTAGGCTACGTACGGGCTCGGCACGCACACTATTTCCACTCTTGATTTCCTCAACCCAGGCTTTGTGGCGCTCCATCAGCATCTTTTACTTCTCCGCCCGGCGGAAGAAGCTTAAACTCCATCCCTTCTACATCATCTTCGATTCTTCGATATAGCGCCTATTCCCTCGCTTACTTCACCATCCATAAATCACAACCAAGACGACAACTAGCTTTTGTGTCAACCACCTTGACAAGCCTGGTGAGTCTAATACTTTTCTTTACATCCTCAGCAGATTGCCAAACCGAACACTCCGTCATGATTCCCCTTGCCCATATTGACATATGCAACCGGGATCCCTCATCGGACTGCTTGGACCCCCTGATCTACCCGTTGTTCTCGGCTTGCGTGGAATATTTACTGCCGTTCTATAACACCATCTTCTTCTCCCGAGTAGTTCTGGGGGGCAAGGGCTTCGCCAACGGCAATGTCGTTGACGACTTGGAGATTAACCATATTCGTTGGCGCGGTTACGGATGTGGCAGCCGGGCGATTTATGGCGGTTGAGAGCACAGCAATGACGGCGTTGATATCCATATCATTGCATTTGTGCCGTCAACCAGGCGACGGCACCTCGAGCTGCTTCACGGTCCTCAGACCTTGGGTGAAGCGTCTCGCAGACGCCTTGGTAGGCCCTGCTGCCACATAATCTCCATATCGCCGCTTGGGTACGTCCAGGCTGTCTGGGACTTTCCTGCCGAGAATCTGGTGTCCACGACACCTCGTATCACTCGATATGCTACACGCCCTCGCGCTTCTTCCATACTCTGCCCACATGCCGAAGCCATATCTTCTTGCACTCACGCTTTCAATCATGCAGCTACTTTTTTTCGAGTATGGCAAGCTAACACGCCTGATAGCCAAATCTGTCGGATCATCACCACACCCTTGTCGCGACGTTTCACCTTGACCAAGGAGTCGAACGTTTCTCGACTAATCTTGCCTCTCCAACTCAGGGTCGAGGGTTGATCTGCGCTGACGGCATTCCCGCTACAGTGGGGTCGTCTTTCCGCCGCGCAAGCTTTACGCAGACACCGGAATTTGCTGCCGAACCTGGAGGACTCCGATCCCTGCCACGGAGGTCTGCAAGTGGATACCACCCACCTTACCAGCGGTCTTTAAGGATATCCGTAGCTGCACTTGGATCGACCTTGCATCCGGGATCGCGGTTGATGACAACGTCTCAGCCTCGTTAACACTGGCCCAAAAGGATACGACAGACGAAAGACGATGATGGAAACATACTATGGCTGCGTGCGGACTCCGTCCGACGCGATAAAGCTGTTCGAGGCTTGCAGAGTTGGACTGCTCCCCCGAGTACAGCGGAGACTATCGGAGAAAGAACGGCAAGCCATCAGATCTGGCTCTGTTTTTGTGTGGGACGAAAGGGAAGCCGGCATGCGGAGGTGGACGGACGGCAAGTCATGGAGTGCGAGCAGAGTCTCCGGCAGCTTCTTGACGTACAGGGAGATGGAGGGCAAACGAGGTGCTGCCTTCCCACCCACCAGGAGAATACAGACCGACACAACTCCCGAATCTGGCCGCGGTAGCGACGAGGACCAAGACGACGGAGAGATTGATGGATACCGATACAAGATCGATGGTCTCATGAAGCAGTCTTTCAGCATCACGACTTCCACAGGCCAGCATCTCCATCTGATCTCGTACTACTCACGACCGCAAGCCGGCCAACCGGACCTTCCACAGCCTTGCACAGATCCTAGTCTCCGTCACATCGTTCCTGCGAAAGGAATGTATCCCGAGTCGAGCGTGCATGAGAGCCAAGGGCCAGCACTTAGCAGAGGACCCATGAATCAGACATCCTACACTCTGGCTCTGCAACCACCACCGCCGCCTCCGGGACCGCCACAACACCACTACCAGGTTCAATACGCGCCGCCTGGGTACCAGTGGCCGCCGTCACCCGTGGCCACGCCCCCTTACAGCCATCCTCATTACGCCGCCTATTCACAGGCGCCGCTTCCGCCACCGGGTCAACATCACCAATACCATCCTCAGCCTCCACCTCATCATTATCAACATCAACAACAGCCACACCCACATCAACCTCCGCCGTACCATCAGCCGCCCCCAAATCAGCACCATGAGCGGTCACCTTTGCCCCATCCTCAAGTCACAGCTGCTCATAAACCACATCAACCTCGAGCACCGGCTCCCCTGCAACACTATCCTCATCCATCAAACCAGCCGAGCCCCCATCCCTCTCAGCAGCACGCACCCCAGCAGCACCCCTCTCAACAATCAAGTGCGGCTTCCCACGACTCTCCGCTAGCTCAGCACCTACAAGCAGCGGCCAGAGAGGCTGTCCTGGTTGATCCCCGGCTGTCGACCTCAGCACCGCGAGGACACGAGCAGACTCAGCTGCCTCCCATCAACAACAACCACAGTGGCCACAACCAGCAACAGCGGCACTCGCCAGCTCCGCTTGTTGCACCTCCTTCCCGGACATTATCCGCATCTCCGCCAAAAAGTTCGCATTCGGAGGCAGCTAATGGCACCAACGGCGCTACGACCAACGGCGGTTCTTCGAGCACCTACAACAAGACCAGCCTGTCGTCTCTGTTGCACCCGACTCCCACAAACTCGGAGCCGAACAGCGCGAATCCCGGTACTAACAGCGCCGGTAGCTCACCAAGGGCTGTCGCTAACGGTGGCGCCGCGAACGTCCCGGCGCCGTCGCAGAGAGGGGAGGATGTCCGCGCGCTTCGCGTCCTGGACAAGAAGTTCTGCATCTAGGGGACCCGGGCTAGATTCTGATTCGGGAGAAGGAATAATATACTTGAATGGCGGGCGTGCGGGGATACGTTAATCGCGCTTTGGCGCGTTTGCTGCGCCTTTGGGCTTTGGACCGGGACGGCTGCTCTCACTGCATATCAAACGGGGTGTTTACAGGGAGCAGGACTCATCCAGCTCAGAAAAGTCAAAAAGGCTTGCAATATTATTACTAGGGGCATTACAGGTGTCCGTTTGTTTTCCAGGGGCGAAATCACCGCGCAACCAGCGCCGGACCACGGAAGTACATCGCTATTGGGACTGGGCCAGGCTGGGAGGAGTTTTGTTTTTAGTTTTTTTCGATCTGTTTTCGGCGCATTTCTTTCGCTTTTGCTGGTTTCGGGACGTAGGAGCTTCTCTCCCACCGTTTCCCTGGCTTTCTCTATTAGCTAGCCGCTTAGCTTTCAACATAATCAGCTATGCCAGTCCACCAGGGCTTCCCTGCGTTATGCACTTGCTCTTCCCCTGACTTCTGCCCGTCTGCCGTGATGCAAACTAAGCATGGCCCCCCATTATCTCCGGACACTGGAGAGCTGAACCAACCAGACCCCATCCTACCCGAGATATCAGATCCCGCCATGTGCGTCCCCCCATTTCCCTAACCGTCCCCCCATACACGGCCTACCCAGCCCGCCTCTCAAAACTGGCAAGTATAGCCGGCCGCAGATTGAACCAAGCTTATCTTCCTTCGCAACTCCGACAGCAAGGATCCTCCCGTCTCTCCAACACATGAGCAAAGATATGTATGCTTAACAGCCGACACCACATCGACTTGCGTGGCCTTTGGTCGCGGACACCCGCTAACACGCTCCCGATGCTTTGTGACCCCCTCGGGATGTGGGTGAGTGAGGGAGGGGTGAGCTGACGACGACAATCCCGGGGATTTAACCATAAACTGAAATGGAGACGCAGCTAGACTGGTGTAGATAGATAGACTATTCTGGAGGTGCAGGTCTGATACCCGATACGCCTTTGCTGCTTCCCTTCCCAATGAGCTTGTCGATGCACATCGCGCTTCAGACCACGCGGCAGGAGGTGTGGTTCAGGGGGTTGGTTGGCGGAGCCGTATCAGGTCCCTCCCTGTTGCTGTCTCCCCTTTTCCCTTGAAGATGTCCATCAAGACTAAGGTAACATCTTTCACTCTGCGACGTCACCAAACAGGTCGTTTCAGAAGTGCCACGTAACGGTCGTCGCATTACATGTACAAGCACGGAAAGCTGTGGAGTTGTGGAGACGCGTTTTTTAAAACTTGCGAGAGCCGAGTCGTGATCAACCTCGCTTAAGTAGAATCAAGAGTCATGCAGTGAGTGTGGAGCCTGCGTTGGTTGTAGTTTCCAAAGGGCTTCCAGAAGCTTTCTTTGATGCTCGGCGGCATAATATATGGCGGCATATTGAGTGGTTGATGAAGATCGCTTTATGCGTTAAAGTGTCGGGAGGTAGAGGAATACCCGGTACTGCATCAACAGGATGCGAGTAAAGAACCTCTTCTTCTCTGCCCGGCTTGCTTCCGGAGAGGAGTGCTGCCAAAAAGTTATGCTGAACAGCAGCAGAAAACTCTAAAAATGTGATACCGGATGGCGGACTCTCCCGCCGGGAATTGAACCCGGGTCCCGAGCGATTGTGCATTTGAAATGACAAGCTCATATACTAACCACTATACTACGGAAGACTAGTGGGTGTTTGAATGCACCCACCGCAGATGTGGAGTCGGATTTGATGGAATGATTCGACGGAAATAGAGATTATAGAGTTTACAAGGACGTGATTCCGCGATGTGGTGCTATGATTCTGGCAAATCATATGGCATGCGTCATGGGCGCAATAACTCGCGAAGGGTGCCGCGTGCAGCGCGGACGATGTGGTTGTGCTGGGTGGTATAGGGTAGCTTGCCTCAGCGATGAGTGTCGATATTGAGGAATTGGTGAGAAATGACCGGTTATCTAAGGTAGTGAATAGAGGGAGAGCGCTTCGATTGTTAACCGATAGTCTAGTATTCCAATGACGCGGATTGAGCATCGTGTTCCGTTACGTATTGTGCAATTGACAGATACACGAGTAGTTATCGGGGACACGACACCCACGCCCTACTAAGAAGCACATTAGGCAGCATTGTTAGATGATGACAGACACCCAGCTCTCATCTAGGGGGCGGGAAGTGATTCTCGTCAGAGTCAGAACTTTGTGCTCAGGGGCCACTGGAGCACCGTCAGTGAAATACCTTATCTCAAGTAGATAGACGTTAGACCAGTCTGAGTTGTGCTTGGCCCGTTAGGTAGTCACTTGTCGACATCCGAGTCATCCTGCTGAGCCAATCCAGCAACCTAAACATCCCTGTGACCACGAAGCAGAGATATTTGTTCACGTCGACACATACTCGGAGAGTTGGTGCCAGTGTTATCCTATGGCCTCGAGTGAGTAGTGCTGGCGAAGTCGTATGGTCGGTCTTCCCATAGGATAGACCTACCCTATACGTGTGACGGGCGCAGTCATGACCGAAACCATCACCGCCACGCATCTACGACATGTCGGAAATAAATGGGCAGACATCGAGCCATACCTCAACGTTCCAATTACTGTGTATCACCTCGACCCACTCGCGTTCAAGATTCCCGTGTTGTTGTGTCCAATCACCCAGGTCAGCTGACAATCGCACCAGACGGGAACCCTGAGTGACTGGCGCTTCGCCAACACAGCCACATCTTTTCAAACTGTGTCCTTCTTTTGTGAGCTGATGACTGACCAGAGAACCAAGCCAGCGCCGGGTCCTGTCCCTGGGTGCGTCGATGTGATGGACGCCACGACTGTAGGCAGCTGCACGGCTAAATTCTGCTAAATGACGAAGGAGAATATCTCGCAATACCGAGAACCTAGTGAGATCCGATGCGCCAGCTTGACTACTTCCCCTTCGAGTGTCGTTTGTGACGCTGCGCAGCTTGAAAAGCGACAAGCAGGCGGCCAGTTGGTCTTCGTCCTCCCGAGCGCGCCTCTGAAGCAGCTCCTTTCCGGTACCGACCTAGTGGCCGGCCGACCACAGGTAGACACTTAACCAAAGCCACTGAACAGTCACGGGGAGCCGGCTGACCGCGTAGCTGAACGGTCACCTGCATTCACCGAGGAGCTCATGCCGCGCTCCCTCCTCTCATCGCTTGTGCACATCACAGGCCTAGTTCAAGTCACCCCTCGGCCGGACATCTGAGGACGTGTTCCTTAAGAGCCATACCTCCGTGAAATGAACCAGAAGCCGACGCTTCATTACCAGACACCTCCATGAGAGGCACACCAGCGAGCTACCGACTTTTCCGGCCAATAACTTGCAGGTCCGACTGCGATGCTGTTTGAATGGCCAGGTCATCCTGATGATAATCGGGAGGGTATTGATGCAATATGCCGTGCAGGAGAGGGGTTGACTCCGGCTCGAAAGCGCCAAAATCTCCCGCGGCACACCTGTTTGCGGCCACCTCCCTCTCATCCTCTGCCGCTCAGTCCGCCGTCTTCCTTCAGGCACACGATCATCAATAGAAAGACCATGCGATAGCTCGCACTTGGAAGCCATCTGCGTGGTCTGAAATGGGTGGTATTAGGTGCTGATGATGGATGACGTTGACGATTTATCGTTGATCACCGCCGCGCCGCGCCCGCGTGACATGAACAACAGTCAGCGCCTCACATGCGGCGGACGATCAAGCGGTCTTCCTGATAAACAGAATGTTCAACATTAAAAAATAGATAGTAAGGACTAGCTTCCGTTCGTATGGTATACCACGTATCACTGGCAAGGGACGTGTGTGAAGCCATATGATGCAGAGAAACAAGTTGTGGACTTGCAGACGCGACTGGAGACACAGCACCAAGGCATGTTGCGATAAGACGCTGGCTGCCAACGCGTAAACTCGGGTTGCCAAATGCTAGATTGTTCCTTTGAAAATGGAAATGGCAAAATAGCATTATCGAGTCGACTCCAGGCATAAATAGCTGAGTAGGGGGAGGGAAGAGTGCGAGATGACCATTGTGTTGGGAGAAGCTGCCGTGCGGGATCGCGACCGAAACCACAAGGCGACATCACGGGATGACGATTCCGAGGCGAAAAAGAAGGCGGCAACCATATGTAAACCCAGTATGAGTCACTTGAATAGGCCGTCCATTCGATTCGAATCGCAAGCCTTGTGTTTGATGAGAATGGAAGCGAAGAGAAGCTGTGACAGTTGTGGTTGGTAGTGTGCGGATAGCTTCACGACGATGCACGCGAGACTCGGAAAACCAAAACATTAGAAAAGTGACTTGCGCCGCGATCAGTCATAACCCAGCCTCACAAAATGGAAATCAAGCGAAAACACGACCTAATGATAGCCGTCAATTCAGATAATACAATGAAGCTCATTTTAGGTATCGAACCAGGGGTTGGTAGTGCAGCATGGCGAATGCGCCCGGAAGTATCAATCTGGGGCGACGCGATCGAGATGATGGGAAGTGCGATTTGAATGCGTCGAGTTCCTCAGACTATCAGAGTTCGTCACTGCGCGAGGAAAATAGCTGGAAAATTGCCACCGACTTTTGAGACACTCTCGATCGCACCGAATGCTGGTCCGGTAACTCCAGTTCTAGGCACACATTTGGTGTGGGAGGGAAAGGAAAGAGAGAGAGAACGAGAGGGAAAGACTGTTCGACTCGAGGGGTGGGCGAGGGTGAGAACCGGTCGCGATCACTCCTTGTGTGAGAGAAACTGGCCCCGCGCATGATTTCTGGTGGTAAGAGATACAAAGTGGATAACCTGTAGTTGAACTGGCCAATCAGAAAATTGGGTCACATGCGGATTTTTGGGTTTTGCCATTTATCGTCGCATCCCAAAGGAGGAAAGTGCCGGGAGCATAGCTGGAACAGCTGGGCAGCTAAGCAAAACCCCACCCGGATTATGGCTGAGACGCCACAGTTTGGAGTCGAATTGTTGCAGTCCTGCCTCGTGATTCGCCCATTGGCATGGCTTTTGCAGAATTCCAGGTGACGTTTAGCGTGGCAGGAGCTTGGGCCACCACAGATCCAACAAGGGTCGGGGCGGGTGCACGCTTGTTAGGAGGGAGTGGTGTGCCCCCAGAGATTCGAAGCTTCTGTGACGGGGGGTGCAGGCTGCCCTGGGTGGAGGTTGAGTGATTGATTTGATTGAACCTCGACCCCCCGCTATATAAACAACCAGCGCATCCGCCTCGCGCCCGACCCAGCCTACCCTTCCCTTCTGTTTTCGTTCTCCCAATACCCAACGCGTCTCTGAACTTTCGTGCCTCATTTTCACTCTCGATTAAGCACTTCATCCAACTCATCTTCGGATACCGCATTCACACATTTAACCCTTCCCCACACAAAAACATCACATCATCAGCAATGGCTCCCAAGGCGACCAAGGCGGAGGGTGCCTCCAAGGCCAAGTCTTCCAGCAGCGGCCACGCCTCGTACCAGGTATGTTTATTTTTGATTCATCAAACCTCATCAGCATTGGATGAAAGCTAATACGTCTCATCAGGAAATGATCAAGGAGGCTATCATTTCGGTAAATCAGCCCTGTCCTAACTGCGCGCGCATTTGTGACGAGTGCATCGTGGGGTTTGGTCTGTCTCGTCTCGTGAGGGTTGAGGCAACTCAACTCATCATGAATGATAAGCACCATATCTCGCCATGACCTTGCTCACTCTTTCTTGGAGCGTCGCACACCATGATGGTACCCGACCCCTGTTTGATCATGCTCTAACATGCAATCCTCACTTCAGCTCAAGAACCGCAATGGATCCAGCCGCCCCGCCCTGAAGAAGTATGTCAAGGCCAACAACCCTCACCTCAAGGACGTCCAGGACACCATGTTCGACTCTCTCTTCAACCGCGCCCTGAAGAACGGGGTCGAGAAGGGTGTCTTCGAGCAGCCTAAGGGCCCGTCCGGCGGCACCAAGCTTGCCAAGCCCGCTGCCGCTGCTGCCAAGAAGGAGGCCGCTCCCAAGAAGGAGTCCGATGAGAAGAAGCCTGCCGCAAAGAAGTCTTCCACCGCCAAGAAGCCCGCTGCTAAGAAGGCTGCCCCTAAGAAGGACGACACTAAGAAGGCCGCTCCCAAGAAGGCTGCCCCGAAGAAGGCTGCTCCCAAGAAGGCTGCTGCACCCAAGAAGGCCGACGTAAGCTCACACATCACATTTCATTCTTCTGTACTCAAGCTAACTGATTTTCAGGCCGTCGTTGACAAGCCCGCTGTCCTCACCAAGACCAAGTCGGGACGCGTCGCAAAGTCCACCGCGCCCAAGCCCGCAGCCAAGAAGGCCGCACCAAAGAAGGCTGCCGCGAAGAAGGCGACGCCCAAGAAGGCAGAGGCTGCTGCTTCGGCATAAGCTGGGCCTGGCCTTGTTTTGACGACTCTCTTATCTTGACTTTCGCGTTTATGTGACGACTCTTGGCTGGCGTTCAGGTTAGTACCAGGGAAACATGGAGTGGTCTCACGGAAGCTCGCGAGCGAACAGCTCGGTGTGGCATGTTCTGGGTTTTTGCAATGGCACTTGTGTATTTGGGGTTTCTCCGGTTGTGGGACGGGATAGGGGAGATGCCTGTCTGTCTTGGGTTCTTGCTTGCACAGGCGCCCCGGTCTATCAAGTTGACGATGGCAAGTTGTGCTGGCAAGGTTCTATCACCTGGGCACTGTAA